AGTTGGTCAGCAGGCTCGTGATAGCTTACAGGCGCTTCTTGGTGTACTGTTTGGTTTGAATGGCAAATGGGAGCGTCGGAGGTTTGGGAATCTTGTCTCAAGGTATCGTTGGTACTCGTTTCTTGGGGACATCCAGGCGACTGCAAGAGGCCTTGCTGGCCCTAAGTGTTGGTCTGGGCTGGCGCTACTGTGCCGTATGCAGCATGTTCGGGTTCAAGCGTTTCAGTATACCTTGTTGGGCCCACTTAATCGCGTGGCACATGCTAGGTCCAGGGCTAAGGTCGATGAGAAGCTCAAAGAGGTGGCTCAGTCTATCGGGGATCTCTGGTCAGTCAGGCAGTTCGGGGACGCTTTTTCCGCGTTACGTCGTCTGGGAGCTGCGGGGAAGAAGCACCGTCAAGCCAAGGTTCTCCCAGCTGTTCAGGGTCCCGATGACCTTCTCGTCGCGTCTGTGCAAGAGGCTAACGAGCTATGGCTTGAACACTTCGCTGCGCAGGAAATGGCCGCCAAGATTGAGCCGGCCACTTTCCTGAACATGTTTCAAGATCGTTGAGTTCCAGCTGATGTTGTTGCTCGTAATCATGCTTGTGTTCCTACGCTACAGGACTTTCACAGAGAGCTGCGCCTTACTAGAAGCAGTGCAGGTGGTGCTGATGGCCTACATGGCAAGTTTGTGCACGCATGCGCGGATTCCTTGGCTGTCGCCTTCTACCCGCTTGTTGTGAAGACCGCGCTAATGATTTCTGAACGTTACAGTGGAAAGGAGGTGATCTACCACGTATCCCTAAAGCTCGTGGTTCTGTGTACACACCTAGCTCATCTAGATCAATATTGGTGGCGTCACAAATTGGTCAAAAATATCACTCCTGTCTTAGAAGAAGGCTTATTCCGGCGATGCAGTCTGCGGTAGGCTCCCATCAGTATGCAGGCGTGCCCGGTAGAGGTACGCAGCTCGCAGTGTTGGCTACCCGTGTCTTACAAAGACACGCTCAATCTGCTGGTCTATGGTTATGATTTCTTTTTGATGATGTCATGAGTGCTTATTACATGGCTATCAGAGAGTTGGTGATTAAGACAGATGTTTCCCCCGAGTCTCTCACGGCCTTGTTGCAGCAAGCTGGCCTTCCAGCGTCTTACCTCCCGCTCTTGGCACCATCGTTGCACGCCCAGGGTGTCGATGATCATTTTAAGGCCGTGGTGGAGGAGGCATATCGGTTCGGGTGGTTTCAATTTCCTGGAGCTACTCGGATCGCCGTGACGTTTAGGGGAATCAGACCTGGAACACCATTTGGGGATGCTTTGTTTTGTTTATCATTGCGGAGGTTACTAATAATGTCGCTCGTGAACTACAAGAGCTTGGCCTCACGTTTTCATGTTCTTTGCCCTCTGCCAATATATTTGGTGACATGTCTGTCCCAGAATCAGAGGCCATATTCCCAGGTATGGTGTACGCTGACGATTCGCTGTACGCCTTGCTTGCACCATTGTCAGTCATCAAGGAGAGTTTGGAGGACTTTTGCAGAATTGCTGTCAACTCGTACGCGTGTGTCGGCTTGGTGCCTCACCTTAAGATTGGGAAAACGGAGTTGATGCTACATCTCACTGGTCCTGGGTCCGCTAAATTTCGGCGACACATCTTCCATTCCCTCGGGAATGTGTATCCTGTGCGATCCATGTTCGTGGGTGGTGGCATCAACGTCGTGCGCACAGCGGTTCACTTAGGCTCCGTGATTACAGACCGTGCGCTATTGGGACCAGAACTGGTACATCGTGAGGCCGAATCTCGTGTTCAATTGTCTGTACTTAGCAAGGCCCTCAAGAGGGCTACCGAGGTATCTATCATACCTAAACTGTTTTTTTACGGATTCTTTGGTCATGAATTCAGCGTTGTATGGTGCAGGTACGTGGTACAACATGTTTGGCAGTGGCATGAACAGAGTTCGGTCCCAAAATGTGCGCAGATATCGCCGTGTCTCGAGGTTGACATGCTTCGAGGCTGGAGGCCCTACGGACGACGACGTCATGTCCGCTGCACTCAGGTCAGTTGTGTCAGTCGTGATACGTGCTGCTCGCCTACGCCTATTTGGGCAGGTGATGGCAGCCGCTCCTGTTCCGCTGTTGGCTCTACTACATGCTGAGTACGTTCAGGCTGCCACCAGGGCAAAACAAAACTCATGGCTACATCAGATCCTGGAAGATTTCTCCTGGTTGCGTTCCTCGCATCATGCTTTCCAGGACATGCCCTTGCCCTCCTCCGACACCGGTGTCTGGGTTAAGAAAGTAAGATCGTCCAGGGTAACTAAGGCGGTTGTGGCTAAGGCGAGACGGGGGCTTGAAGCATCTCGCTGGGAAAAGCGCCTCCTGACCATGATGACGAGTGAAGGCCTCCCTGCTCCCAGAGATGTGCTCCAGCCTTTGCCTCGCAAGTCTTTGAAATGCCATTTTTGTGACTATTGTACGGAGAAAATATCATCGTAGGATGCCCTCATTAGGGCTAATCATACCACGTTGTCAAGCATTGCTCGCAGGCATGTTTCAGAGAATAGATGCCAGGCATTTTTAAGAGTGTTTGAATCTAGAGCGTTGCTGGTCCGTCATGTCACGACCTGGCGCCCAATTTGTATGATTTTTTACGTTACGCAGGTGCCTCCTCACCCGCCAGACGTGTTGCAAGCTCTAGCGGAGCAGGAGAAGCAGGAAAATAAGCTGGCCTTTAAACGTGGTTATTCTTCTTCACATGCCTCCACCCCGTCCTGCATTGCCTCAGGGCCTATCCACCCTGCCGCTCGAGGTTTGAAAGCTATGTACTCGCGCGAGCAGGCTCAGCAATACCTTCAAAACGTGTTACTTGATGTCACCGACAGTTTTTGGATCAGTTATCCTCCGAGCCTCCTGCCCCAGGCTCGGTAGATTGCATATTTCTAGACTGGCCATATGACAGAAATGCGTACACAAGTAGGCTTGCTAATCTAGTTCCCCGCAGACTGCATCGCCGGACTGTTTTCATAGCTACTTTGTTCTGTGGCCAACGCCGGACAGGTAATATACAATGTGCTGTGGAAACATATTTGGAACTTACATTACCAGATGTTGAGCTGCGCGTTCTCTCAATTGTCACTTTATTAGATTATGATGTTGGCGACCTTAGCAAGCAATCTACTGTTGAGGTCTGGTCTGGCCACATTAAGGCTGGACGAGTTGCTTTGCTGGGAGGGGGGCCCCCATGTGAGACACTCTCTACGTCCCGCTGGAAAGACGGGCCCCCCCTCCTCTCAGGTCCTGGCATGCCCCATGGGGGCTGGCGGCTTTAAACCCTAGGCAGCGTCTCCAGGTCCAAGTTGCTAACTCATTGTATATGGTTATTGTTGAGCTGTTGTGTATTTTAGCATGTGTAGGCGGTGCGGGGTGGGTGGAGCATCCTGCGTCGCCCACATGGGAGCCCCGTGCAGTCCCGTCCTGGTCGTTCCGTCCTACCAAGGCTCTTGTATCAGCACCGTCGTGTGCGTTGACCGAGTTTGACCAGTGTGAAGTTGGACAGGAGAGACGAGCTCCGACAGGAATTCTGGCTGTCAGAATGCCCACCTTGGCTTCCCTCCTCACTTCAACACCAGGAGGCGGAAAGTGCAGCCACGGTCCGCGAGCTCATGACACAGTGTTGGGCAAGCAGGCTGATGGCTCCTTTCGAACAGCCAAGAAAAAGATATACCCACCTGCATTATGTTCGGTTATTGGCCAAGCTATGCTTCACACGTTGCTCCCATCACTGTCTCTTGGCGATGATGAGGACGGTGAGCAGTGCAAGCTTTTGCAGAAGTTGTTTGTGTCCACTGCTTCCATTGTCTCCGATGCTCCACAGATGGGCCCCGATTTTGCAGTTCCCAGGTCCGAGAGGAAGCAGTCGACTTTTGCCAGGATACGTTCAGTTTGCAAGCTAGAAGAGGCTGTGAGGCCGAATCAGGAAGATGATCTGGACAACCACTCTGTGGCAGTGTTTTTTGCTCGGGAGCCCACGCCTGAGCTTCCAGGTCGTTCCCAGGATCCCCTCTCCTCCCCCCCTGCCCCGTCTCCACCCCCTCCCCCTCCGCCGCCCCCTCCACCCCCGTCTGAAGCTGTCCGTGTGAGGATTGCTGCGAATAGGGCGGAGGCGTTGCGTCGGCGCAGGGAGAGAGTGGCTGAGCAACGTCGGTTGCCGATCACGAGCGTGAACCTGTTCGGGCCACCTCCCGAGCTGCCGCCCCGCGCAGCGACAGAGAAGGTCCAGGCAGACTTACATAGGTGGTTCTCTGCCGCGATCTCAGGCTCGGGGTAATACTTTCCGTATTTTTCTTGTTTGTTGCTTGCAATGACGGGAAGGTGTACGGATGGGTTAGCAGTTTCTGGTGGGGAGGCTTCACATCTAGCACGAGTTTCCGTCCGCAGTGCCTGTGCATAATGTTGTTGTGTCCTGAGCGTGTCTCGCTCCGTGCTCGGCTTCATGAGGAGCTGTTGAGGAGTGTTGGGATTGAGGATAGGTATTTGGTAGCATGGGGAGGTGGATGATGTATTGTGCACTCGTATTTGCTGCCCCGAGCCTCATGTCACTCGGCGCTCGGATTCTATATCGTCGAGACGGCGGCGATTCGTGGCCCTTCACAGGACTCTCTTGGTCTGCAGGTCTATATGTGTCCTGCACACCCCTGGCAGCGCCGTCCTGCGTGACGACCTTTCGAGGACTCCCGAGTTCCAAGTTCCTCCTCCTCCTCCCCCTCCTCCTCCTCCTCCTCCCTCCTCCTCCTCCTCCTCCTCCCCCTCCTCCTCCTCCTCCTCCTCCTCCTCTTCCTCCTCCTCCTCCTCCTCCTCCTCCTCCTTCTCCTCCTCATCCTCCTCCTCCTCCTCTTACTCCTACTCCTACTCCCGCTCCTTCTGCCACACCCAGCTCTCTTCCCTGTCCATCACACCTTCCCCCACCCACCCACCCATTCACCCACCCCTGCCGGCCGCGAAGCGGGGCGAGACCTGTTTTGTTTCGTGTCATTGTTTTGAGTTACGCTGTCTCGTCATTATCCATGCGCGTGCATATTCGAATACAGAAAATACTTCTCAAAGTTCCCCGCTGCCGAGCTTGGTCGCGACCGAGTGGGTCAGCGGCATGGCGTCCTCGGTCTCGTCGGTGGCATAGCCGAACATAATCCCCTGGTCGCCCGCGCCGACGTCCATGTCATCCTTGCCGACGTGCACGCCCCCCGCGATGTCGGGGCTCTGCTTGTTGATACGCACCAGGACCTCGCACGTGGTGTCGCTCAGCCCCTTGCTGTCCACGCTGGACAGGTCATCCACGTAGGTGTCGAAACCGATTTTCTTTACCACCCCGCGGACGACCTTCTCGTAATCGATCGCCGTCTGGGTGGTGATCTCACCCGCTACCATGACCATGTTGTCCTTGGTGGCGGTCTCGCAGGCGACTTTGCTCTTGGGATCCCCCGCCAGGCAGCAATCCAGCACGGCATCGGAGACCTGATCGCAGAGTTTGTCCTCGGAGGTCGGCCGACAATAGTTCACAAGGGTTTGCCAGCGTGAACCCCAACTGGCTGGTAATTGGCCTTTCGGTGTAAAAGAAGTCATTCGCACATGTGTGATACAGTATACGTGATGCAACTGACGGGATGCGCGATATGTGTGGTGCCAGCTATGTGATGCAGCTTGTGTAAAGCAATGTGTGCATGGTGCAACTGATGTGGTGCATTATATGCCGTGCACTCAACTGTCGACATCCGCGCGTGACAACCTTCCGTGCTTGAGCAGCATGCAGCCGACCCACCCGCAACTTGTTAGCAAAGATCAACTGGCGTAATGGCGCGAGGGCCCCATGTGATGCAAATGATGACGGTGGTGGCGCTGATGAGGAGGGCGACGACGACGATGCCGCCGATCACGATGGTGTTGATGGGGCGGGCACGGGTGAGCGACGCACGAGAATACTGCAGCGCCAGCTAATACCTAGCACACAAATAAAGGATTGGGAACAATAAACCCTCACAAATATTCAATACCTTTCGGCGGCTATTGACAGAAAGCAGCCAGTCCCAGGCACGACTGCCCGAACAGCGTTTGCACCGAGAGGTTCTCCTTGTATATACTAGAACCATCGCGCGCGCTTCGCGCGCGCTCATGTTCTAGCTAAGGCTTGATGGGCAAACACATGGAATAGCATCCTTGTCGTTTCTTGCATCTAGGGACTCTCTTGGAGGCCCTGCGCAAGCCTCGGGATCGTATAGAAGGGGAACTGCGGAAACACAGAAATCATGAATTGCCGTCCGGTACTCAACGACTTGGGGCCCTCGAAGGCTTCCTGGGTTCTTTTCTTGGGCCTTCATTGTGGTCTGTTGTGCAAGAAAAGACAGGGGGAGCGAACTTGGAAAAAAACTGAATGGTGGGATTTCCCATTTTTAGAAGTTGTAATTAGTGCCTGGGCTGTGGGTTAGACGTTTTCTGCATGCAGGCCACGGTCTGTTGGGATGCCTCTCGGGGTCTTCGTGCGAAAAATGAGCAGGGGGTGAGTTTGAAAAAAAGGAATTCTACAATTCCATTGCTTCAACTCATGGGATCATGGGATCTCGATTACTACAATGGTTTCAGGGGCAGTCAAGAGGACACGAAGACGATCCAAGAGTGCCCAGACAGCGTCAGAGAGTTCAATGCATTCCCGAAACATTTTTGCATGTGACCCCGAACTCTTGATGGGGCTCGAGGAAGAGGATAGGGAGTAGGAGTCCCAACTTGAAAAAAAGGAATCTCTGGAATTCTTTTTTTTCCAAATTCCTCAGTCTTGCAGCGTTGGAAGCTGGAAAACGTGAGAAGGCGGAAAGCGTCGACGAAAACCACTGAAAATCAACGATTTGACCCTCTTCGGCCTCTCTCGGGACAGCTCTCGAAGCTCTCTTGGGCTGTTTTGGGGGCCTCGTCGGTGATTTTTTGGGAGCCTCTCAGTGGTCTGGGGTGTGTTGGAGGCCTCTGAGAGGAGGTCTCTGGAGGCCTGCTCCCACTATTGGGCTCATCTTGAGCCTGTTCTGGGGTGGTCTGGAGCTGTCCTGGGCGCCTCTTCGGCAGTCTTGGGGCCGTCTTGGCCCGTCTTGGGGCCTTGGGGGCCTCTTGGGCGGTCTCGGGGCGGTCTTGGGGGCCTCTTCGGCCGTCTTGGAGCGTTGGAAGCATGAAATGGTGAGAAGGCCCAAGAAACATATGAAAATGAACGATTTTAGGTTGTCCGGGCGCTCTCGGGAGGCCCCTCGGAGCTCTCTTAAGGTCTTTTCAAAGCTTCCTAGGAACCTGGAGAGCCACCCGAAAGCTATCCTGGGTTGCTTGGGAGCGTCTTAGGCCATTCTTTGACGCTCTGGGGGCTTCTTGGGGTCGTCCTGGGCAGTCCTGGGCGTTTCGGGGGCTTCCCAGGAGGTCGGGAAGCGTGGCACCGCGAGCGTTCCGCAGATATTCCGGGAAGGTGTGGGACCCCCGGGAGGAGGGGGCGCGCATTTGTTGAATTTGGAGGTAGAAGAAGAAGAACAAGAAGAAGAGCAAGAAGAAGAAGAACAAAAAACTCTGAGATTCCATTATTATTTTTTGTTTTTCAAACTCCTCGGTCTTGCAGCGTTGGAAGCCGCAAAACGTGAGAAGGCGAAAAAAGTAGACAAAAACAATTGAAAATCTACGTTTTTACCCTCTTCGGACTCTCTCGGGACTGCTCTCGAAACTCTCTTGGGCTGTTCTGGGGGCCTCGTCGAGGCTTTTTGGGGAGCCTCTCAGGGGTCTGGGATGCGTTGGAGGCATCTGGGGGGTCCCGGAGTCCTCTCGGAGGTCTCTGGCGGCCTCCTGCTCCCACTATTGGGTTCATCTTGGGCCTGTTCTGGGGTGGTCTGGAACTGTCCTGGGCGCCTCTTCGGCAGTCTTGGGACCGTCTTGGCCCGTCTTGGGGCCGTCTTGGGGGCCTCTTGGGCGGTCTTGGGGGCCTCTTCAGCCGTCTTGGAGCATTGGAAGCATGAAATGGTGAGAAGGCCAAGAACCCTGAAAAAAAAACATGAAAAATACAGATTTTAGGTTCTCCGGGCGCTCTCGGGAGGCCTCTCGGAGCTCTCTTGAGGTCTCTTGGAGGCCTCCTGGGGGCCTGGAGAGCCGCCCGAAAGCCATCCTGGCTTGCTTGGGAGCGTCCTGGGCAATTCTTTTACGCTCTGAGGGCTTCGTGGGGTCGTCTTGGGCTGTCTTTGAGCATTGTGGGGGATCCCTGGGAGGCCGGGAAGATGTAAGCGAGGTGGAGGACTCCCCGAGACGGGGCCCAGCGTATTTGTTTATATTAAATGTGTATGTGTATGTATGTATGTGTATATATATATATATATATATATATATATATATATATATATACATATATATGTGTGTATGTCTATATATATATATGGCATGGGACTCCCGTGGGCCACTCTCTTGGCTCATTTTGATGGCATCTACTTCGCGTTCATCCTCCTCTTCCTTTTTTCTTCGTCCTTCTGTAAAGGATTGCGAATTGATTTTCTTTTGTGGCGGAGTCCAAATTGATTCTTCTTGTGGCGGATTACAAATGGACTCCTTTGTGCCAGATTACAGTTTGATTCCTTTTGTGGCGGATTACCAACTGATTCCTTTTGTGGCGATTACAAATTGATTCTCTTTTGTGGCGGATTAGAAATTGATTCCTTTGTGGCGGATTACACATTGATTCCTTTTGTGGCGGATTACAAAGGGAATCCTTCCGTGGCGAATTACAAAGGGAACCCTTTTGTGGCGGATTCTAAATTGATTCCTTTTTTGGCGGATTACAGAAGGAATCCTTGTGGCAGATTACAAAGTGATTCCTTTTGTGGCGGATTACAAAGGAAATCCTTTTTGTGGCGAATTACAAAGGGAATCCTTGCGTGGGGATCTTTAGCGGCCTGGACGTGCGAGAGGTTCCCAGGGCTTTACATGTTTAGATTCTTTACATTCCTCGAATTTGTTAAATCCAAAAACCAGGTTTCGCTTGAGACTGTCTCAAAATTGTATAAATCCATGCAGCTTGGCTGATGTAAAATGAGTCTCAAGCGAAACCTACTTTTTCATTGTTTTTACATTGATTTCACACAGAAAACACAGTGTTGCTTGAGACTCCCTCTGAATTTTACAACAGCCAAACCCAATGGAATTAAAAAACTCTGAGACAGTCTCAAGCGAAACCTGGCTTTCCGTTCTGAATTTTTATATAACATTTAAACAAAAAAACTGTTTAACCAAGTAATAATAATATATCAATAAATTATATATAAAAAAATGTGGGGACCTCTCGCACGTCCAGGCCGCTAAAGATCCCCACGAAAGGATGCCCTTTGAAATTCGCCACACACGGATTTCCGTTGTAACCCGCCACAAAAGGAATCAATGTGTAATCTGCCACAAAAGAATTCCCTTTGTAATTCGCCACAAAAGGATTCCCTTTGTAATTCCCCACAAAAGGAATCAATTTTTGTAATCCGCCACAAAAGGATCACCTTTGTAATTCGCCACAAAAGAAATCAGTGTGTAATCCCCCACAAAAGGATTCCTTTTGTAATCCGCCACAAAGAGGGTAACTTTGTAATCCGCCACGAGGGAATCAATTGGTAACCCGCCACACAATGAATCACTATGTAATCCGCCACAAAAAGAATCAAGTTGTAATCCGTCACCCAAGGAATAAACTTGTAATCCGCCACAATAGGCTTCACGTTGTAATCCGCCACACAAGGAAACATGTTGGCATCCGCCACAAGAGAGAGAGGGATAGAGAGAAGGAGAGAGAAGCATTAAGGAGAGGGAGGGGGAGAAGAGGGAAGCATGAAACTTTCAAAGTGCCGAAAGCCCGACATACCCATCCAGTCTGGAGCCCCTCAGGCGCCAGGCTGGATGGGCATGGCTGGCTTTCGGCCTTCCAAAGGGTTTAAGGGCAGTTATTTGTCCAACTCCGTTTCGCTCTTCCGTTCTCTCCCAATCCTGCATTCCTTCCTCCTCCTCCTCCCGTGGACTCATTTGACGGAGATGCTTTCTGAAGTTTCTACTGCAATCAACTGGACATGCGGACAGGTTAAACTCGCGAGTTACTTTCAGGTGCAACGGTTATTAAGAACACACGCGTGCAAGTTGTGAACGAGCAGCGATGCCTACATCGCAGATTCCCACGTCTCCTCCTCCTCCTCATCATCATCATCATCATCATCATCCCCTCATATTCCTCCCCCCCCCATCCATCCTCCTCCTCCTCCTCATCCTCGTTGCCGTCGCCGTCGTCGTCCTCCTCCTCGCCCACCCCCCCTTCTCCAACTCCTCGTCGTTCGTCTCTTGTTCCTCGGCCCCACCTCCGCATTTTACCCCGCCCTCGCCTCCTCCCTCCTCTCTCCTCCTTCACCCCACTGTCCCCCTTCCCCGCCGCCACCCCAGTTCCCTCCTCCCCTTGTCCTCTTCTGGCATCGCTGATCCCTCCTCGCCTCCTCCCTTCT